GATGCGCAATAGTTAGCACCGTCCTGCCCTTCATAACCCGTTCTAAAGCCTCCCGAACCAAACTTTCTGACTGTGCATCTAAAGCACTTAAAAAATAATAGATTAATAAAAAAATATCTTCCGATTCAAAGGTTTTTTTACCTTGTAGCTTCATCAAGTAATAAAATTTTTGGATCTTTAATTAACGCCCTAGCAATAGCAATTCGTTGCTTCTGACCACCACTTAACATAATTCCCCTTTCCCCAACAAGAGTGTTAAAGCCTTCAGGTAATTGCTGCACAAATTCAAGTACATTTGCCTCTTTGGCTACTTCTGTCAGTTTCTCCTCTGTTATTTTTTCTGGACAATCAGCACCATATAAAATGTTATCTCTAATACTACATGAAAATAACACAGGCTCCTGAAAGTGAACTCAATCAATCTAACAATCACCATATACAAAGAAGAAAATAAAGAAACTTTTCTTCTGTCTCTTTTTAGAAATATTTCAAATAAACATATTTAAAATTTAAAAACACTAAAGAAAACGACAGAGTACAAAAACATACTTGACTAACTGTTCCAATACATCGTTTTATCCATTTAGGATCCAAATTTCTTACATCCTGTCCATCCAATAATACATTTCCCTTAGTAGGGTCATATAGACGTAAAAGTAAAGCAGCTAATGTGCTTTTCCCGGAACCACTTGGACCAACCACCGCCACCGTTTTACCTGGACTTATATCTAGTTTAACATCATTAAGCACCTCTACGTTAGATCGCGATGGATATTTAAATTGAATATCATTAAACTGTATGTGGCCCTCAGGTTCTTTAATTGGAATTGAGCCTCCTACAAATTATTTCCATTCGTTAATAAGCTATATTTCAATTTTAAAGAATATTCTGCACCAGTAACAGGCATAGCAGGTTGTCTATCAACTATTTCCCACAGCCTTGTTGCAGCCCCTACAGCTTTGTTTAACTCGGAATAAAAACTCGAAAGACCACCCAAAGACACCCCTATGTATGCTGCATATAAAAGAAACGAAGATAAGTTTCCGACAGTAATGTCATGAGCAGAAACCATTACTCCTCCATAATATAGAACAGAAATGATGATAACGTTTCCTGTGAGTCCTGTCTACAAAATGCCCAGTCAAAAAAGAACCAAATACATATATACAATACTTTACAATCCCACTAATTTAATTAACATAGAAATTCATTATTAGGGAGTTATGGTGAATTTTTTTTTAAATCAAAAACTGTTTCACATTACAGAATAACGTTAGTTACAATAATAAGTTGCAACAAGTGTAACTAACACTAAAAATGTGAAACTTTAACCTACGACCAATTTAATTTCATTTCGATATTTCGGAAAAGTTTACTAACCATTCCAAAAAATATAGCTCTTGCTCTTGACTCGTTGTATCCTAAAAGTAGAACTTTTTCAATAGCGCACTTATATCGATCCATTTCCAACGATTCCCTGCCAAAAGACTTAACAGTTTTCATGTTTGAAATTCGTTCTTCAGCTACTTGAGATGCAGCTGCCAATTTGTCTTGGACCTCTTTTGTGATGTTGCGAACGTACCTTCCATATATTATCGCTATGACCGCTACTGGTGGAACAACTGTCAAACTTACCAAAGCTAATTTTGGAGACATATAAAACTAAAAATGTTAAAGAGGAAAAGTTTTTACGTTTTCATACATATAAATATATGAAAAGGTTTTGCAAATTAACCATAACAATAACGTTAAAGATGTTTGAAGAAAGTTACTTAAAAAGTAACATTTTATAGCAAGTAAATAAAAATACCATCATTCCACTTCCAGCTAAAACCATAATTGTTGATCTAAGACCATCAGAAATATTTGTGGTAAGAGCATAACCAACTATTTGGGTATCAGAAGACAACCTATTAACTAATTCCCCTGTTGAACGATTATCAAACCATCCTTGCTCTTGTCGCAAAATTGAAGAAAATACTTTTAAACGCAAGGCCTGAGTCATTCTATAACCTGTCAGTAAAAAAGTATATATCATTATCACTACTAAGATTTTACATATGAGAACCTACTCCAGAACTAATCTAATTAAACCCCTGTGGTGTTTTGTTTACCTGAAGTTGACATTAAGTAAACTCTTCCAAAATTGCAAATACCACCAAGAAGAAACACAGCTATTAGTATTCCACATAACTTATTTAACTTTTGTCGAGCATCATCAGAATTTTCATTATTTGTGTAAATAATATCCAAAACCTTTCCTAGACTGAAAGGGACTGCCATTGTTACTGCACTTGATATAAAAAGTAAACATACAGCACCTGCAGAGAAAACCTATCAATTTATTTGAAATAAATTTATATGTGGGGCCACAATTTAACTCACCAAAAAGGGTCCATTTTTCGGATTTCGCAAGGGAAAAAAGTCTAGATAAATCAGCCTTTTTAAGCCTCTGAGTTTTAGTACTTCTATGCCTTTGAAAAAATTTGCGTACACGAGTTGAACTATTTACACTTTCACTTTGTAATACATTAACAGTAACATATGACTTCCTAGTGTTTGATTTATCAGTCATAGCGTGAAAACGTTTAATATAAATTTGTTTTGAAAGGAACACACTACCATTCACATTTTGTAAACGTTTTAATGATAAACTAAGAGTAGATCTATGAATTTGTGCGATAAAAAAGTAGAACATCTTGATAATTCATTAAATTAATTAAAATAAGTCCGCAATGTGAACGCTAAATAAAAAAAACATTATTACAGTACCTGTATCAATTTAAAATTTGCAAGAGAAACCACCTAGGTTATGTTACATTATCATTGTGACAGTCACCTAATCTATGGTCACTTAATAATCGTTTCATGGTCAGACAAATTTTAAATATGGAGTAGTGTATCTATGGAGTAGTGTGTCGCCATCTACTGATTATACATATTGCCGATAACTAGTATACAATATATCGTAAGCATATAGCATTTATTAGGCATTTTACAAAACGCAAAGGCTTTATGAAAAGGGATTTTAAACAACTGACCAACAATACTAAAAGCCTTCGTTAAATCTTCATAATTTTTAATCTGTCCTCCATCGGAGGGAATGAAGAAGGGGATAAGTTAGCAATTGTGAAGGTCTCAAGGAAGATTGTATGATTTTGATCAGTAGTTCTTCTAAATAATTGCTTCATAGACTCTGCGTTTTGTAAAATGCCTAATTTTGAAATATGCCCACGACTTAGGTGCATATGTACAAGATACCTATTTAGATTTTGTTGATTTAGATGGAACATAATTAATGCCTTTTTTCTAATGTTTTATTTTCAATTTTTTTGTACGGATTTGATGTAGAATTAACACATAATCTTATGACTTATGATTAAAACCGCAACTTAATCAATAATTACTTTTTTAATGATAAAAAACGATATCGAGAACTTCTCCCTACTTTGATAGTTTCACAAAAGCTAAATGCTTGCTCATCTTGCATTGCTCTGTATCTGTCCTGATTTTATCAAGATAAAAATTAGAACAATCATCAAGCGACTAATTAGTACGTCACAACAAGTTGTACCATGACGAGTGTGCTAATAATAAGCTATTCGTCTAAACATATCATTAAACCTTTAGTGCGATTTGCTGTAAATGCAAAGGAGAATATTATATAGACTTGTAAATTGCGATTATCTTACGTACCATTAAAGATTAAAAATATATTGTAACAACTCATTACCTTATAC